AAGAGAAGCTGTATATATACAGCTTCGGGAGCCACAATTGCTGCCACCGCTTCGATCCTTGTAGGTCAATGTGAGGTTGGAGACAGAATCACCCCCCAAATCATTAGTTCTAACACGAATGAACCCAGTCAGTTGCATAGTGGTGGCTCCAGAGTTCAGTGCCAACTGCATCTCAACTGGCTTGACAGAATATGGCTGAATAGGATCCGACAAAACGACACCATCTGGCACTGTATCTATCATCTTTCGGAGAACGGTTGCGCATATATTATTGAACTCAGTTGGGTCTACCATGCCGTTCATAGTCACGTTGCTGTCATAGTTGAACACTTTGAAGTCGGAATTCCTCGTGGATTGGATCGACGGACCAACAACCAAGGGGTTGGTTGTGTTACCAGATACATATTCAGTGACAACCTTGTTATCGAAGACTGCTTCAGTCGAGTCCAAGGGTACTTGACCATTTTCCGTAGACCCAACAGGTACTATCTCGGGAAACTCGCTTTCGTGAACACCTCCAATAGAATGACCACAAGCGGTGGCTTGAATCATCTCGGTCTTGTTGAATCCCATTCGTATGAACTGCTGCTCGAAAGTGAAGGCACTATTCTGAGGTAGTGGAACCCCTATAGGGCCTCCAGCCACGGCGTCGATTCTCCCACCAGCGAAAGGTACAATAGGACCACCACAAGATCTCACAGCGTAGTATACCCCCAAGGCGATGAGATCCGCCACGCCGGATCGACTTGTGTAGTAGTCTGCCATAAATTTGAGCGTCGTGTTGAACCCTGGGCCAAGGTTGTCTGAACTTGTCAACTCGTATTGCAACGATCCATCCAATCCACCACTGCGTATGTTGCTCAAGTCTGTGGTCGTTGCCATATCGTGGAAGGCTGCTCTCACCCACTCCGCGGCATTGTGACGCCCTGGCCCAGATGCTTCGCTTGAGCAAGGAATGACTGTCCCGCCAAATTGTCTAGCCCGATATCCTTTGACTTGGTACATTATCTCTTCTAGCTCATCGTTCGAAGACGGCCAGGTTGGGTCTGCCCTCGACAGGGCGCCCAAGGAGACAATGGCCCCGAGGAAGGAGAGATTCCAACGCATAGTAGAAGTGAACTAGATCAAACACGAAATATTAAGTATTAAACATATACGGGCGAATGCCGTACCAGTATCGGCCTCTCAGCAAGTAAGTTCTTCAGGCAGTAAAGCAACGAAGGAAAACGAGCGTAACTTGACCCGAGGGCTAGGGAATCAAATAAGAGGAATGCCTTGTTCATGGTCATATACGATAAGAGATATGTCGAAACCTACAATACATCTCGCTTACTCTCATACTTACCGCCATCACGGGCACTCGACACCGTACGCCCGCCATGCCTGACAATTTTCAACAAATTCTGCGGGATAGGGGAGTTGTCGGCGCCTAGATGCTGCAGCCCATCTGCAAGAATAAAATACGAGCTTTCAAACCAATGCTACGCTATCTAACGCGCGAACGGGGATTGGTCGAGTATTTTGGGAGCTTCCAGCCTTAGGATGAAGCGGGGCCGACTAATGCATGCCAGCAATGAACAAGGGGAGAGTTCGGATTGTGAGATACGGTTTGATTTGCGTGAGCCTATCTCCTTCTCGGATCTCTTGCCGGATCATCTTGAATAGGGCCGCTCGGCTGGTCAGCTGTGCGCGTCAGTAGTTAACAAGCGAGGTCAGTCACTCCAGCCCGACGCCATTGGTGACACGACTTTCTGACATGGTTATACGGAAGTTTTGGCTGCGAATAAGTAACCTGCATTGCATCAGTGGTAGTCTATTGCATTTCTCGAAGAACCCCTGACCCATACATTCCAAGTGTTGAGGTAACACATATACGTATTTTGAGGCCATTTGACACTGGCATTCGGGACTAGCAGGGAAGAGATATAAAAAATATGTCAGATGCTCAAGTGGTATAGGCAAGATACTCAACACCATATTCGCATCATACGGTCCTGTCCAGAGCCTTCACTCTTCTTCTCCGGTCTCTTTTTGAGGTAGGCGTCAAGTCTCGACCTTTCACAATACCTCTACTTGCGGTAAACCTGAATTAGCAACAGGCATCAGAAGTTCAGGATACTATGAGCCAGATGAGCTTACACCGACGACTCACTAGTTATAGTCGTTGTTATCGAACGAGGCTACAATTGGCGAGATAGGACGATGTCTGTCTGTAGGTGAGCTGAGATAGCGGCAGCTTTTAGCGTTCAGCACTATCAGATGGCTGCACCCACTAACACGTGCGTTAACCGCCAGTGGAGAATTGGAGTGGAGCTTCAGGGATCGAATGATTCGCGACTGGGATTAGAACGAGCTTAGAAAGCCAAGCTTTTGCACCCTTGGTCCTGGTCCTGGAATGTCGGGAGCTTCCACTTTGATGGAAAACTCCACACCTTCTTCTTCTGGGATATCTTGTAACCCTAGGTAGTAACCCTAGGTGAAAAATTACACACGTTCTACATCAAAGGGCACCATCTCCTTGTAAAAATGTGTCGATATATGCATATATATAGGCATATCATGGAACGTTGGGCCTGCAGTCGTTCAACTACACCCGAAGATAATCCAGGACTTTCCAGACAAAGATATGATAATTAGCAAGCCAATACGCCACCCCGGCTCGGGCATTTCGTGAATATCGTGTTGGTCAAGTTCTGTACACTACATAGGCATGTAGGAAATGATATAACTACCCAACCACCTTGCTAGGTCTCACGGGACGGCACGTTAGCAGGATACGTAGGAAACTATGCTAAACTAGTGGCTGTGCAAGCGTGACAACATGTAAACCCCTAAGCAGGATTAGCAAGTCGGTGTAATGTTACCTTGACAAGTAGCACGACAATACCATGAAGATGGAATCAGTAAGCATCGTCTATCTCTTCTCATACCACATAGTTAGTATTCTAGATGTCTGTTAGCTATGTTTATAATGAACAAACGATGTATCTATCGCTGTGAAATAGAACTAGAAATAGGTTGGCTAAGTCTCAACCCGAAGACTTATGTATCTGGACGCATGAGAAGTACGTTTATATATCCACTAATTGAGTGGTTCTTACTACAACAACAGTATAGTACACAATGTTTCTCAGGCGGACAGGTGTCTGGTAGACCTATACTGCGGCATTGAAGCTAGCGGTATGGTATGTTCATAGTCGTTATCAATAAGCCAGTAGTGTCAACCTGAAGCACGAGGGAGGGCGTTTTGAGCCTAGAAAGATATGTATGCAACCATTCAGGGACCGTGGCCTTCCTTTGTTAGCATACAATGGCCGCATAGTGCTAGAACATGCATCTAACAAGGTGATAAAAGCTTCCTATGGTTCTCAAGGAAAATATCGAGAGATGACAAGAATTTTGATGGCATGATGGCTGCTATTGATACATGTAGACAAATAATGCTGGCAGGATAACAAAATGTGAGAGGTTTATTGATCAGGTAAATGGGCACGGTTGTGGTTTTAAATGTCTGACATACCCTCTTATGCAAATATTTCATGTCCTGACATTTACAAGTGGAATCCTGTGTGTGAGTTCTTGACTTGAGCACATCAACGTTCGTCACTACATTGAAGCTAGTTGTCTAATGCACTAGTCACCTCTGAGCTTTTTTTCCTCGGGGACTTCAGTATTCGGATCGCCTTCCTGTACAGCGTTAAGATATCGAGCTAATACCCTTCTTCTAAGGGGAAATGATGTGAGCATACTCCTATTGTTCGGAACACGGATCCAATCCTCTCTAGCCAGTGTGCCTTTGCAGAAGAATATGAAAAGCTTAGATTGATATATATCACCCCATGACTGTAACCCTCCACAGAAAATTGGCTTATGCTGGCGTACATAATAATGTAACGAAATAACAGCCACTAACTTACTTATTAAGAAGAAAGGAAACAGGAGGAGTCGTGCTTCGAAAGACGGGAACTTCAGACTGATGACATTGGTATCCTTGCTACCAGCGCTGCTCAGCGCTACATCTAACGATACTGAGAGCGGCCAGAGGGGGGCAATTCAAATAACAATGCACTGCATGAGAAAGTACCACGAGAGATGAGGGACATTATAACGAGCGCAATCGGGATAGATCGTTGATTAGAGTAATTAGCAAAGTCTTCTTCACAATGCTATCAGGCTGAGGTCCGCACTGCTGAGAAGACATCGATTCTATAGTAGGTGTTAGCATATGAGCGAAGCGACGAAGACCATGAGTTATATCATTACGCGTGGGCAGTCTTTTCTAATTTCGAGTGATATATGTTTGATTACATCAACTGCGTGGGACAGAGGTACAAGCTGAAATGAGAGGATGATGGGCCAGTTGTTGGTAACATCTTAATTTGAAGCCAGGAAGGAGATGATGTGGTAGATCCTCAGGCTATGATTGATGACTTATAGAACAAGGTTCAGAATCACATTGAGGCTTTCACGTTGCGTTGAACTGATAAAAGGTACATATGTAGGGAAGTGTCCTAACTTTCTTAAAGAGACGGAGCCATCTCACTAACGGTCAAATACGATTGGAAATGTTCAGGGGCCTCGCTCGACCAACACCTCGCGAATGCAAAATTATAGGTCCGAAGTTTATAAGAGAGTATGTCACCATCTTGTTAATCCTTCGTCTTCTGAGAGATAGAATCGCTTAGACGCAACCAAATGAGTGAGATGTCGGGGACGACAGTGCTACATCTAGCCCTAGTGGGTGTGCTAAGTGTTGCAGTGGCGTTATGTGTTTTCTTCACAATTGTCATATAGAGAACATAAGAAGGGGAAAAGAGTTCATCCACACAGAAATGGGGAGTTTAAAAATTGGAAATGTGAAGCAGAGTCTCCAGAGCAGGAAAAGGTTAATGGATGTCGAGCAGGAGGCAGAAAGTGATATGCCTATGTGTAAGGCAGGTGATAGTGTGATTGTATATGAAGAACATTAAGCAGCTAGAAACACATCTGCAAAAGATCAATCCGAATTGGTGTAGTGGCTAACATTTGACGCTCTCATTGGTTAAACCCAGTTACCGTCAAGCCCGGGGTTCGATTCCCCGATTCGGAGTTTACTTTTGCTTTTTTGGCAAAAATATCTAACTAGTATAATTCTCAACTTTTTGCATGGAGTAGCTTCAATAAGTTCGATAAGTTTGAGTTATGTTATATATGTCTAGCGATCAATTATTGCGAAAGAAATACATAATGACTTGGGTAATGGTCTATAGTTTAAATATTGCTCAATTGTGTTGCTAAATACAACTTATGATGTTTAGGAGTTGGAAGATATAAAGGTGTTAGTTACAACAGCCTTTATTGTGAAGTGAAGGCATTCCCCATCACATTTTATCGAAGAGAAACGAAATCGCAATTGCTCCCAAAATCACCTTGATAGGCCAAGATGTCAGGAACGCCCCTGACAGTACAGCCCAGTAGGATGGACTCAGTCCATATATAGTACACCTCCAGGATGTTCCATCATGGAGTGAACCATCAATAATAATACTTCACAGATCACTGCTTGGTGCATTACACAAGAGCATGCATGTGTACCTAATGAATGATACAGTTCGTACAGGCAGATGCCTTTCTGCTGTTGATGCATGTATACTTAGTAGACATATTGTGCAGGTAGGTAAGAGGCCCAAAAGGTGATTGTATTAGGATAGTGAGGTCTAGAGCTAGCCAGCTAATTTTCCCTCTTTTGTGTGCCGAGACGCTTTGACCACCTCACAATATGTACATATTTGCGATAGGTACATCTACCTAATGAAAGGTGACATCGATTGCTTAATTGAATATTGATTTATAAGAGTTGCATGTGAAGGCAATCACTACGAAAGTGGGGCAGCTTTTCGAAAATTCGCTTAGCCCTCGCGCAAACCCACAAGAAAATTAATTTGGTGGTGGGCATTGAATTTTTGACATTCAACCACACCAATTCCTGTCTTGAGAAGCGTCAACCACCAGTCGAGGTATGTTACGCCGACACCATTGTTCATTCCATATTCTTGTTGTAATTTCGCCATCTAGTCTTCTTCGCTTTTTTCTCAGCGACTGACTGACTAACTGACTAACTGACTGACCTCTCCCACTTCAGACTCACAACCTTCACGATGGCCTCGAGACCGACTGTCACCATCATCGGCAAAGATGGTTCTCCTACGGGAGCTACCCACACCATCCCTACCGTCTTCGCCTCCCCGATCCGACCTGATATCGTCCAGCAAGTCCACACCGGAATGGCCAAGAACAAGCGACAGCCCTATGCCGTGAGCGAGAAGGCCGGTCACCAAACCTCTGCCGAGTCATGGGGAACTGGTCAGTACATTTGATACCTGATTTCGACAACATCAAATTTGTTCAATTAGAGCCGTTATGCTTCTCGATACTCCGAAGGAGCTTGCAGACGAGCTTCTACGTCGGGATTGAACCAAACCATGACCCAGCCGCTAACATTATCCTCCAGGTCGTGCCGTCGCGCGTATTCCCCGTGTGTCTGGTGGTGGTACCCACCGTGCTGGTCAGGCTGCCTTCGGTAACATGTGCCGTTCTGGTCGCATGTTCGCGCCTACCAAGATCTGGAGAAAGTGGCACATCAAGATCAACCAGGGCCAGAAGTAAGTTGAGCGTACTCAGGATCACTATGGACACTGAAGACTGACATCTTGGAAGGCGATTCGCTACTGCCTCGGCTCTTGCTGCGTCCGCTGTTCCCCCTCTATTGCTCGCCCGTGGCCACCAGATCTCATCCGTCCCTGAGGTTCCTTTGGTTGTCGACTCGGCTGTTTTCGAGGGAGGTGCTGCTGCCAAGTCTGCAGGTGCTCTCGCCATCTTGAACGCCATTGGTGCTGCTGTCGACATCCAGAAGGCCAAGAAGTCGACGAAGCTGCGCGCCGGAAAGGGTAAGCTGCGTGGTCGCCGCCACCGCCAGCGCCGTGGCCCTCTGGTCATCTACGACCCCGAGGTTGATGGCAAGGACCTTGTTACGGGAACCCGCAACCTGCCCGGTGTTGAGACCTGCTCTGTCTACGCCCTCAACCTCCTCCAGCTCGCTCCTGGTGGTCACCTTGGTCGATTCATCGTCTGGACCTCCGCGGCTTTCAAGGCTCTTGACAACATCTACGGCACCACCACCAAGCCTTCCGACCTCAAGAAGGACTTCCTGCTGCCTTCCAACCTCGTTTCCCAGGCAGACCTGAGCCGTCTAATCAACAGCTCTGAAATCCAGAGCGTCCTGGAAGCCCCTAAGGGTGGTCCCCTCACCAAGCGTGCTAGTGTGCAGAAGAACCCTCTCCGCAACAAGCAAGTCATGCTGCGCTTCAACCCCTACCACGCTGCGTTCGTGAAGAAGGAACTTGGTCAACAGAAGAAGGAGGAAGGCAAGCCCCTAAAGACACCCAAGGCCTTCCTGGAGGTTCTGCACGAGGCATAGACTAGCTTGGTGAGCAGCGTGGTCTAATGAGGAGAAAAGAAGCATTAGTTTCTCTGGTCACGGCGTAATGGTCTATAGGGTCATGAATCAATTGACTTGTCATTCTGAGCATATCTTACTGCTTTAAGCTATTTATTGATGTGACAATCCCTACTTGACAATTGACAATGCCTAGATTGATGATAGTCGTCCATTCACTCCTCGAAAATGTGGTTTGATCTGGGATAGTGATTCATGTTCTTTGGTGTTCCGTTGTCTATATGACGGCTGCCACATGTTGCTGTAGAAGCTTCATATGCAATATTTTATGATTACCTTGTTAATTACTGTGTCACTAAAGCCAGTTAGCTCTCTTTAGCTCAAACGGCAAGATTGAATGAAGTATGTGATAGGTTATCGTTCCGGACGTAACAGCCCCTCTCTGACAAATTCGTATAACAAATCTTGGTGGATATAAAGCTACAAGTTGCCTTTATGAGCGATGTCCGACGGCTATACCCAGCTCAGAGAGGTTATTTCCACCATATAGATACTTAGTCACTTGCTCACACTTGAATGATGCGATTTGCTTGTTCAAGGGCGTGATCGGCCATATGCACATTGATCATTAGGGTGGTTTGAAGTACCAAAGTCCTAATGTCGGATGATGCTGTGTGGTATGACGGCTACCTACATGTAATGGCTTGGATTTGTCTAACGTTGTGTCTCTTAATAATCTTAATCCCACCTCTCTTTAGAGCATTTGCTCAACACTTTTGATTACTCAAAACTTCAATCACTTTATTGCAAGCAAGCAAGGCCACTTCTTGACATTTGGATAATGTAGTTACCGTTGATATACCAAGCGTTGAGCTTGTCTTGGCTTTTACAACAACTTATTCGACTCGATATGAACATACAAGATATTTTTCATTTTGCTATGTATTTTTGGTGTATCTGCAAGATTTACTCACCCAACGTGGCCTACAGCGACTCCACGTTGGATGCAACTATGGCTCTAATCTGGAATATAGAGTCAGTATGGTATGTATGTATATCCTCTTCAACGCCGATGCGATGACGTCCCGCCGTTCTGATTGGTCGGGATTACTCATAGCACGAACTTAGGCTGCGTACCTAATAAGGGGTGGAACGTCTGACATGCCAGACCTTAATGACATGTCTGGGCGTAACTACTTAACAGCCCATCCAACTACCTAGATCTACCAAGCCCGCTCTGTCTTCTGCTTGCGGAATATTTATCCCCTCCAAAATGTCTTCGAGCTCCTTAACCTTCTTGATGCGCCAAAACCTCTGCACGCCTCGGGCAAACCGTAGCGAGCAAGCGTCTATGTTCTCCTCACTCTCGGCCGCAAAGCACAGCCGGAAATACGCCCAGCCTCTCTCATTACGGATCTGCGGGGTCGCGCTGAACATCAGGCCCGGGCTGACGCACACCAGGAACGGCTTGTAGGTCAGGAAGATCATGAGCGCGGTGGAGAGGGCAACGCCGTTGATAACGTTGCCACTGGACCCGGCGGCTTTCCACAGCGGATGGGTCTCGAAACGCATGTGAAGCCAGAGAAACATGCCACCCCGCGGCCAGTCGAAGTCGTACAACCGCGTCTTGGTGATGACGCCCCAGTCAGCATCGGACTTGCGAATTGGCGTCCCCTGCTTAAGTTCGTACGCGTTCTCCTCAAGGATCCTGCACATCCTGTTCATGCGCCTTTCGTACTGGCCGCGCAGTCCGGCGAGCCACCGCACCCAGCCGTCCATTTTCCAACCATTGAAATTGGGTTTCACTGGGTGCAACGCGAATGCGGCCGAGGCGTCTGGTTGGGGTCCTATGATAGCCTCGGCAACGACGACTTGGACAAAGCCCGAGGGCTGTTGGGTACCTGTCTCACTGACGCGGAGAATACGCTCGCATATCTCCGGGGCTGCCGTGATCCATCCCATTCGGCACCCAGGGGCAACAGTTTTGGAGAAGGTGTCTAATCTCACGACTCGGCCATCGACATCGATACTGAGGTATGACGGCGCAAGCGAATCCAGGAATGCATATCCAGATTTCTTTTCGAGCGTGTTTGCAGCCTTCGGTTCTGGGATGGGCAAATCCCGTGCCTTCGCCTCCTCGATTTCTGCTGACGGGTATTGTAGATACCAATACGGATCGTCTTCAACGATGATTACGTCGTACTTGCTGCATATGGCGTACAATTCCTTTCTCCGCTCCAATTGCAAAACGCCGCTGGTTGGATTATGTCCCATTCTGGATCAAAGCTGTTAGCGTTTCGCACGTTTGGAGTCTAAGTGATCTGCGGAGTGCATGCGCCGTTTCTGCAACCTGACCACTTCCCGCACGCGCTCATGGCCACTCCTGGAATTATAAAAACTTACGTGACCGTATACATCAAATGGGGTCGTTTCCCTTTGCTATCATCCCAATTCGCAAGCACGTCCTCCAAGCCGCCAGGACCATATGGCGCCATGCCGTCAGCGTCCATCTCGACGGGCACGACCTGGACTCCGCGGGGCTCGGCCTGCCCAAGGACATTGGCGTACATGAAGACTTCGGCTAATAAACCAGATCGCTCGCGCACGTCGTTCTTCCCCGGCACCCAGATGTTGGTGAAAACTTCCAAGGCCTT